CGCTTCCCCTTCTAAATTAACCGTCGACTGGCTCCGATCCGATCGATCGATCGATCGATCGATCGATCAGGTCGGGGGGTTGGTGGTTAAGGACGTGAAGCCGTACGAGTTCATGAAGCTCCGCCTCTTGAACGGCGGGCACAGCTGCCTGTCGTACATCTCGGTGCTGTGCGGCTACAGCTACGTGGATGATGCCATGGCGGACCCTCAGATCTCAGGTGCGAGTATGGGCCACGTTGTGGTTGCCGTATCGTGATGGCACGTCGGGTCTGGTCGAATCGCAAAGAGTTTGAAGCAGTACCGACAGCAATTGAGCCCACGTACTGTTGTACTGCCGTGCCATGGTCCTATGTATAGGAGGGACGATAGCGAGTCTCGTGCACACACTCCCTTCTCCCTCATTCTACCCCAGGCTCCGCATTTTTTGTCCGTGTGTGGGTTTCATAGCTTACGATCCACCGCGCGGGCGCGCGGGTGTGTAGTGTGTGTTTGTTTTGATCGTTTGCATACACTGAAAAGCGTGGTATACGTCTCACCACGAGAAATGGAGGGACTGTCGCCACAACAAACACGTAGTAGGACGGAAACACACAAAACACACAACATGTACCGCACTAACCGATGACCAATGAAATTCTTGTGTGTAATTTGTAATTTATGCGTGTTGCAGGGTTCATCAGCGCGCTCTTCCAGGAGATCGCCCCTACCCTCCTACCGGTACCGGGTGTGGACACCAAGACGTACCAGGCCAAGCTTGTGGAGCGATTCGGTGAGCTACGGTACAGCAATACCATGGTATCTGTTTCCTTGGCGTTTTTGTGGGATTTCTCGCGTTCCTCGTGCTGGAGTCGCTGTTGTTGCGGTTCGTGTGAAACGGCCGGTTTTCGTTTGCTGGTCCTGCTGTTGCGACGGTTCTTGCAACACCGTGGAGGTGTTTGGTTGGCCGATATCGCGATTGACGTTGTGTGCGTGATGGACATGTTTCGGTGCATTCTTTCGGCAATATGCATAACATGAAAGTGTTATACTGATGCACCATTGTGGTTGAATCTGCATGCCATCCCGATACCCCCCACCCACAACGCCGTGGATCTTCCAGGGAACCCGTACATCAAGGACAAGCTGACTCGGCTAGCGGAGGACGGGTCGAAGAAGATGCCCAACACCCTTAAAGAAGCGGTGAGAGTGAGCGAAGTCTATCAGTCTCTTGCCTGCACTCAAGTGCCTCGCTCCACATCTACCTGGGACAAAAAAAAAAAAACGTGGTGCACGGTTGTGCGGGATATACAGGACGGTATTTGCGAAACTGCTGAGGCGCCCAGGATAGCAATTTTACGACTTTTGCGTGCAGTATTGCGGTGCTATTGCCGTGGCGCGACGTTTCCGATGGTGCGTCCAATCATCCACCCACGTCTCTGTCTGTGTGTCTGTCAGGTAATCGAGCTGCGAGAGAAGGGTCTGTCGACCAAGGTCATCGCTATGGCCAACGCGGCGTGGATCCGATACATGACAGGGAAGGGGCCCATTTGGGGGGACGTCATCCAGGGGGTGAGCAGAGGATTTAGTCATTTGAACCGATCGCGGGCACTCATTGACGGCTGGGGAGGAACACCGTAAGTGTTTGACAAATACGCACTAGTCGTTTGGCTAACATGGTAGCAGCGGAATAGTAGCACTAGTAGTAGTAGCAGTAGTACTCGGGGGCGAGACTATGGGCAGCGAGCCCTGCGTCTAGTGTGTGACCGTTACATCCCCAAACGAAACGAAACTCAATGGAAATTATGCATCCAAATCCGGATCCTGTACTCTGTACATTTGTACCTGTAGATGTATAGGCATCAAATGGGCTTTGTTTTCTGTATCTGGATGGAAAAATAAAAAACAAAGAAGAAAACCTTTTACGGGAAATTCGCTTTTGTTCTGCAACAAAGCGACCAAAGAATCGACTAAAGCCCAAGATCCTCCACCAAAAATCGAACACGAACAAATTCTTGTGTTGTTTGTTTCTCTCAGATCAAGGACCCCCTGGCTGCCGAGTTGCAAGACCTCGCCGAGGAGGCGATCAACGGCGTAGACACGGGAGCCGAGCCCAAGCCCGAGAAGTACATTGAGCTCGTATTCGGCCAGGAGATCGTTGAACTGGAAGGCTTCATGGAGGAGATCAAGGTACAGTACAGTGAGGGGCCTTCAGTTGTGCCGTTGTTGTTGTTGTTGTCTTCACATTCAAACCGTTCCGTTCTCTCTGCCCAGTACCTCTTTGTGTCCGTCCTATAGTCTGATCACTTGACGAAGTCGATTCCCGTGGTCACAGGCTAACTTGACCAAAAAAGGTATTCGAAAATACAATGGACCCGAAGGGTCCGCAAGCCAATATAAGTTGACGTAGTGTATCGGCACTGTACTGGGCGTCGCTACTATTGAGCTGGCACTGATGAGGGCCCTTGTCTGTGCAGACTTGATCTAGTCCCGTACCAGCTTTTTGTTTTTCGGCCCTAGGCTTGATAGTGTGGTGGTATATTTAGCAAGTTCGGGGTTGACGTGTATCATCTGTTGTACAAAGCTTCGGGCCTGGTTTTCGATTTCTGGTAAAACCATATACACATCGTATTGCAACGTTACTTGCAGTTGCAGACAAAGACAGGAGAGTGACAATATTGTTCGCCGTGCATTCTCTCGTTGCCGGACAGTTTTCCGCCCCAGCTTCGGTTAGCTTAACAGCAGCCGGCGAGGCAGCGTAGTCAACACCGCCAGAAAAAATAATTACTCCGCCCGCTACTTGCTTTGACGATCATCAGGATTGCCTCAAGTCTATCGTCAACAAGGGCGCCCCTGTCACCCTCGAGGAGGTGATGGCTAGCGTAACCGCAGCATAAATCGCGAGGCCTTCCGCACTGGCCGAGGTCAACAAGTTTGGAAAAGTACCGATGACTTCACGGGGGCGACGCCGTAGTGCCGCTGGGCAAGTAATTTTCGTCGACGGTCTGTGATGGCTACGCGTAGAACACGACCGAGGCAGGAGAGGTGACGGCGCAGCCGCCGCTCGCGCGGCTTGTTCGCGCAGAGCACCGTTGGGGTGAACGGCATTGAGAGAAGAAGACCTTTGTGGTGGTGATGAATACGGTCGCTATCCTGGTGCCTGATGGACGGAATAACAAAATAGAGAGAAAACGGGCAGGGAAAGCGCCATTAGGCGCGCTCTCTCAACGGGGTTTGCAAAACGGGGTTTGCAAGTGAGGCTGCTGCAGATCGACCCGTTAGGACAGTATACTGTACCGTTGGGCGCACAATGAGGGTACGGTTTGACCAACGGCAAGGATTGGGCAAATGACCAACAGTAGCGTTGAAAGTTGGTGTGCCGGCCCACCGTAAGGGCGGCGTTGCCTGCTGCCATTTTGGTGGTGCCGAGTGATGATTCATGCTGGTCGGATGAATTACAAATTGGACATCTTGTTCCCGCTCGGACGTTGTTTCAGTTTGCGTTGTAGTTGTTCCTAGTTTTGAGGACGCGTGGTCAATAGTCTAACCGCTAAGGCATGCAAAACATCCGAGCACGCCCCCCCCCCCCCC